ATTATCAATACCCTTGTTAGTTTCATTAACTTCTGGGATACTGATGATGTAGATGTTTGGGTGTTTAATGGTATGTATTATTACTTGTATGTTATTCTCATTTTGGGGGTTATTTTACCAGTCTTTTTGGTGAATTTTTCTAGGTCAGACATTTTATCTTCTACATCTGAGATTCAGTCTTCTGCATGATCTAATCTGCTTATGATATTTTCAAGGGAGGTTTTGATTTTCTGTATTACCCCCTTCATCTCTAACAATTCTGGCTGATTCGTTTTTATGATGTGTATATCCTCTTTCAGATTGCGCAAGAACTTCCTCACCTCCCGGAACTCAGTGTCCTTTTTCTCCTGCATCTTCTGGAGTTCATTGTCTCTCTTCTCTTGCATGTCTGTTAGCTTTGTCACTATGAATATTTTAAATTCTTTATCTGACAATTCCGTGAGTTCTCTAGTATTCTTTGTGGAGGAAGAGGATTTATTCTTTTCCATTAGAGGAGAGATATTTTCTTGGTTTCTCATATTTCTTGTGCCTCTGTGGGGGTTTCTGGTCATCTGATGGATTATGTGTTTTTTCCTATTTTTTTGTAGTTAAACCTGAGCAATCAGAGGAATGCAGAAGGAGGTGACTTGCAGTCTGTAAACAGTACTGTTTTTCTCCCTTTGCACAACTGATTCAATGAAAATTGAGGATTAATCTGACCCTAAAAGTATTCAGCTATTTGGCTTCTGAGCACTAGAAAATCAGTGTATGAAGGCTGAGCAGAAAAGTGAGAAAGATAAAAAGAAAATGAAAAGGAATAAAGAAAAAAACAAAGAAGAGAAAAAAATAAGAAGAAAAAGAGAAAAAAAATATTGTCAAATATGAAAACTATGTGGCTGGGAACCAGCAGTTAGCGTAATGGCTATGTCGCTGGACTCCCACGTAGTCGACCGTGGTTCGCGTCCCGGACCCGGTGGCTTAAAACTCACGCCGGGCGCGTGTGCGTGCGTGCCCAAGATCCCGAGAGGAGGATGGAGGAGAGGGGATTGCGGCGTGACCATCCCCCCTGGGGGGTGATTTCTCGCTTTCTGTCTCTATGTCTCTCTCT